CATTTTCATTTATATAATGCTCTGTGAACACAAATTAGTTAACATAAATCAGTTAAATGACGAAAAATTAGGTATCTATTTACTTGTGACCACGCAGTGTACATTTTTTGTGCAACTCTTATATTAGTAGGAACCCTGTAACTAACAAATTATTGAACCCACGAACAATATGGTCCAGAAATAGTTTAGTAAAATGTATTTATAAAGTGGTGATTCACGAGTTCATAATTGTTTATATGGCAACTTAAGGTTTTGTTTATTTATAAACAGTATTGGGTATTGGGCTTTTCTAGTTTATGCCTTTTTTTGTTATGGTCGTAGTAAGCCAAGAGCCATTACATGACAATTTCTGAAAGTTGATCCAAAAGTAATCATTCTTTTAAGTGTTGTAGTCTAAGTTTTGTGTTTTCAAGACTCGTATTCAAACCAGAAACGAACTGAGCTAAAGCATTAACCTACTAGATATTACTAGTAAGACACTCTTCAACAATTCCAACTACCACATCCTCTTGACATGTATTTGAGTCTTATCTCAGAGTCATGGGATGACAACTAATGGGACACCAGTTGTGTTTGTTGTAATTTTAGTGTTTAGATCAGGATTTGAACCTGTGACTGCTCACAGTACTAGCAAGTGTTCTACCAACTGAGCTGAAGGATTAACCCACTAGTTAGGTACTTTTTTAACAACTCAAACTACTGAAATAGATGCAGCTTATTTTTAATTTGATATGTCATGTACAACACTTTTATCACAGTATGGATAATGTTGGGACATATCCATATAATACTGAAAACAGGTGTTTGAGAAATATGCTATAAGAATAAGAAGACACTCCTTTTTACTGAGTTTTGTGCCAAGAGATTTCTATCCTGTCAACTTATTAAGTTTTTTTTTACTGAATGTGATGCATTATTTTCACTATACTGAATGTAGAAGAGATAGATTCATTTATCAAATTTAGCTTTTTTCGTCATGAATCTCATGATGAAATGGCCCTCTGTTATTAGTTAATGAGTTCTACTGTAAAACTTTGGGACTTTATGAAGACTTCTCATGAATGGCATGTATTTTCAGTAATTTTTGATATGCCATATTCATTTGCTTTTACAGTAAGTATTAATTGGAGATATTTTGGAAAGAATCAGAATATTTTTTTAATATAACAACTCAACTTCACGAAATGAGCATGATGTCGGCCAGTGAAATTCAATTTTTTTATACCAGATTTTAGAGAGAGATGGAACTGTATCATGGGAAGCAGAAAAACAATTTTTGTTATTATGTTTCTTTCACAGAAACTATTCTGAGCATACAAAACAAGTTGATTACTCAGTTTTATTGATATATATGTTTTGATAAGCAAATCAGGTATCATTGTTCAGGTAAAAGTAAATTCACAAAGGTCTGGATGACGTGTTAGCTGAAACTATCATATAACCATCAGTCAGCCCTTCATTTTTACATATAGTTGCTATTACAAAAAAAAACTGTTGGTGACACTCATGTGGCCATAGATTATTGGTGGTTAAATAAAATGAACATATAGAGTAAGCTGTCTTTTGCTTAGAACTGATGATACCATAGGTTAGTAGCTTAAATTTTACATTAAGATGCATAACTATCATATCCCTATCAATATGTTAACCATCGTAAGCCTTCTTTAACAGTTTATCATGATCTTGTTCATTTTAAAATAATACTCTTTGGTCTTATAACTTTTGTGAACTCAATGTCTTCTTTCTTACAGGCTTATTGTAGAAGCATGTTCTTTGTTTCTAAATTAATTGTGATATCTTGTATTTCAAAATAAAAAAGGAGAGATTTGTTAGAAGTTTTCCTGTGGTTGACATTAGGTGAGATAATGTCTCAGTGTCTGTAAAACTGCATAATATTCATTACTTAGATGTGATTTAGTATTTCCTTAATATCTGGTTAAAACATCTGTTAATAAACTAATTGCAAACAATTTCAAAGAGAACACAGCAGTAAGAACTGTTTATATCTCTAATAATCTAGTAACTGTATATGAGAATCTGTTGCTTGTGTTACTTACAACTTCTTGAATAGCAAGACCAATCAACATATCTTGAATTGAATTAATTAAAACTAGTTTATGTTTTAGAATCAGTGGTTCAGCAAAAAATGTCATGCAGGATAGTAGTCTGGAAAATAGAAATGGTTATTGCTGTATTAGGTTTGATGTTTTGCTACATATAGAGATAAGGAATAGTGATATTTTGGTTACAAATTTCAAAAAGGCAAATTTTGAAGGGATGGAACAAGAATTATCTGTCATGAATTGGGCAGCTCAATTATTTGGAGACACCGATCAGATGTGGAAAATTTTTAAATGTTCAAGGTAAACATATTCCTTATAGAAAGAAAATGGCAACTGGAAGTAAAAAACCAGGTTGGCTCACAAATAGTTTAATAAGAGATAAAATTAAAGAAAAGCATCATAAATTTAAGAAATTTCAATTGGCTAGTATGACAAGAGACTTAGAAGATTATAGGAGTTCAAGAAAGTTGATTAAACAGGAAATTAGGACATCAAAAAGAACGTATGAGAAAAGGTTGGCTGAAAATGTAAAAATTAACAATAAGGATTTCTTTAAATACATGTGAGCCATTAACAACAAAATGTTAGGATGGGGGTAGGACCCTTGAAGGGTGATAAAGGAAGGCTAGTATCTGATGATTATGAGATGGCTGGGTTATTAAATTTTGCTTTTTCTTTGGTTTTTACTAGTGAAGATTTAAGCAGTATTCCACATCTTGAACAGTTGATAAATGGAAACAAGATAACTGAATTAATTCTGAGCTGGTTAAGAAAAAATTGGGAAGTTTAAAAAATGATAGGGCTCCAGGGCCAGATAAAATTTCCACAAGGGTTTTGAAGGGGGTTAAAGGTTGGATATGTGAGCCACTTATTACTATTTTTTGTAACTCCTCTTTTCAAGGGAGGTGATAAAAATTGTCCCAGTAATTATAGACCCATTAGTCTTGCATCAGTTGTGAGAAAAGTTTTGGAAAGTCTGTTAAAAGATGCTTTGCAAAGTCAGTTAACAAAGTTTAGAATTTTATTGGATGGTCAATATGGTTTCACTGAGGTAAAATCTTGCCTTACAGATCTTTTGACATTCTTTGAAAAGGTTACTGTTTACGTAGTTGAGAGTAAGGGTGTAGATTTGGTGGTTTTTGGAAATCATTTGACAAGGTGCTACATAAAAGGATTATAATTATCTCTGTAGGTGTGAGGGATAAGTTAGCAAACTGGATAGAAGAGTGGCTGGATGGAAGAAAGCAGAGGGTTCTTACAAATGGAGTTCAGTCAAACTGGATTTATGTCACAAATGGGGTATCCAGGGCTCAGTCTTAGGACCTTTGCGCTTGTTTATTTATATCAATGACATAGATGAAGGAATAGTCAATAAATTACTTGAATTTGTAGATGATATTAAGGTCTTGGGTGTTGCCAGCTCTGAAGAGGATGCTGCTGATTTACAAAAGGATTTAGATCATTTAGTGAGTTGGGCAAATAAATGTCAGATGGGTTTTAATTATAATAAATGCAAGATAATGCATGTGGTTTATCATAATTTGCATTATAAGTATAATTTGGATGGGAATAACCTTAATAGTGTTATGAAGGAAAGGGATCTTAGTGTAATAGTCGATCAGTCTCTAAAGCCATCCAAGCATTATGCTGTTGTTAGTGGTAGGGTAAATAGGATTTTAGGTTGTATTACAGAAATATTGAATATAAGTCTAAAGAGGTTATACTCTCATTATACAGGTCACTGGTTAGGCCACATCTGGAATATTGTGTTCAGTCTTGGGCTCCTTACCTTAGGAAAGACATTGAATTGTTGGAAAGGGTTTAGAGAAGGGTTACTAGAATGGTGCCTGGGATGGAGGGGTTGTCATACGAGGAGAGGCTGAAATCTCTCAAATTATTTTCTCTTGAAAAAAGAAGAATTAGGGGGGATCTGATTGAGGTGTTTAAGATGGTAAACGGAATTGATAATATTGGTGCATCATTCTTCATATTTAATAGTGAGAATAGTAGGACTAGGGGACCCAAATATAAATTTTGGCAAGGTAGGAGTCATCCTCAGCTAAGACAGTTTCATTTTTCTAACAGGGTGGTTAACCTTTGGAATGGGTTGCCTTCGGATATTGTAGAAGCAATAAATTTAAGTGAGTTTAAGAAAAAGTTTGATAACTACATAAATGATAAGGGCTACCTTTAAGATTATTATTTTGTTGATAATTTTAAATTAGTTAAGAGGATGGAACAGCTGAGATGGACCAATAGGTCCCAAGTTGTCCCAAAACATTATGTTATAACCTGGTTTAAAATATTTTTGAAAAATGTATGGCTAAAATTATTAACTCAGAAAAGATATTGTGATCAAGTTTAGAATATATTAAAATAATGAACAATTTGGTTTATCAGTTCTTTAGGAGGAACATATTGTAATATCGAGTATAATTTGAATGCTGTATTTCACATAGTAACTGAATATTGTACACAGTATAATACTAGTGTTTCTTTTCTTTATTCAAGGAAATGGAAATTGAGAAAAGTACCAATTTAGAGAAGCTTATTCAGCTACAGACCATCAACAGAATCCTAAACAGGGAACTTCTGGTTCTGAAAAACCAGTATCACAGTATCAGAGAGGATGATAACATCATTAAAGAGGAAGATAGTAAAGAAATTGGTAAGATGATAAATTCAGAAAGCTACTTTTGTAAAGATTACTCTGCTCTTATAAACCAGAACAAAATTCTTCAGGAACAGTTGACTGTTTTACAGCAGGAGGTTATGCAAATGAAAGAAAATCTTGTGCCAAAACCAGTGCACACAGTGAGCAACAGAGGCAATGACAGTGGGCCTCTTACTCCTGATTCTGGAATAGAAAGTTTTACTGCAGAAACTAAGTATCCACACACTGAAGATTCAGGTAGTATCCCCTGTGACAAAGACTGAAGTACATTTGACATACAATAAAATGAGTCTTAAAAAAACAGGGTAATATTATGATATGAAAGCTAGTTAGCCATCAGGCTTGCTATAAATAGAGAAAACAAGATTTCTTTCACAGATCCCTCCTGAAGCTCTTGAGATTAAGGTTTCAAGGTGTTTGATTTTATGTTCCATTATGTCAATACTCTCTACTCTCAGGAAAATTCTATCATTTCTTTAACAAATGAAGCTGCTTTGTCACCAATGTTGTACAGACCAAACATCTACCTTCAGCAGTTTGAAATTTGCTATTATATCATCTTGCCTTTCAGTATTGTATGTCATCATTAGAAACTTTCAGTTTAAAGTAATTCTGCCATTTTTTGGACAGATGAATTTTGTATATCATTAGTATTGTTCAGACTAAACATTTATCTTCATTTGTTTCAAATTTGCTGTTGTTTACCAAAAGCAGGGACTTACTAGATGTGTAAAGGAGGTTTGAGTTACAGATGCTTGCACATACTTTTCAACCACAACTTCCATAAGCTATCTTTTGATTTTTGTTAAAAAAAAAGTTGTCTAAGTATGATCTGTTGTTAAAAAGGTTCTTAGTTTAGACATTTTCATGATACATATATATATATATATATATATATTGATTAGCTGCTTGTATAATATAACTATGTATATAAGTGTGGTACAAAATGTTTTGCTGCATATGTTAATGTATTTGTAATTATAATTCTGATCAAAGAGGATAATTATTATATATGTTCTATTTAATGTGTCTTAAACTTTGTAATAACAACTAGTAACACAAAGTTACTGGACTTTTCATTATAATTTGAATTTTTTACCAAGAAATGCCCGTAATATGTTTTGATTCATTCAATTTCTGATTCCCTTTGTGATCATTAGAAAACGAATAATTCAGTTTTATTTAATCAATATTTTTTATTGTTTATAAGGAAAAGTAATTTTGTTTAAGGTAACACTGGAATTGTTACTTCTCAAACCTATATTGTACATATTGTTGTGCTTGACTGAACCTTTACTGTATCTTCGTTTGTGTTGGTCTTAATCTTGTAGCGAAGTTAGTGGCATCTTTTAGCAAAGCCTGTAGATCATACATAGGGTTATTATTGCTTTTAGTTAAATATGTAGAGTTTGTCAAGCCTGTACTGTATTGTGTGTTATACTTATAAATTTTGCTATACTTACGGTTACTGTGTAAATAACATGGGTTCTCAACTTTCATATCAGATACCCTACAACACCTAAGATTGTATTGTATCTCTTATTAGTCTCATATTGTCACTTGACGTTATGCTACTGTGTTTAAAGAAATTGACGCTTACTGAAACGCACTATGATAAGATGTATCAAATGTTGCAATTTGTAGAACATTTGTGCGTATATGGCTTTGTTGTGGAACTTGAGGGAATAGATTAGACCTACTTTACAGACTCGGTGTGTTTGATGCAGGGTGAAATAAAACTGAAATAAAAAATACAAATTATTTTAAGAGTCGTTTATTGCAAACTGTAACGACGTTGATGATCGTTACAAAACTAAGTTCGTTTAAAGGAACACATATGGAGAAATAGTCAGTTTGTGCTTATCACTATATGCTGTTCAAAGCTGAAGCCTACTGCGATCACGTGCAAATATTAGTGAAAGTATTAGCATAAGGACATTGTTAGCAGTTCAATTTTGACACGTGAAAGTGCTCTCAGAGAACGTGATTAACGGAAACAAAAAATACTTAGTTACGGAGAAGGCTTTAAATGCAGGAACTAACAGTCAATTTGTAGTTTGTAAGTTGTTTCACACGTTTAGGAAAAAAAATGTTTAATATAATTTGAAAAGTGCGTTTTGATCTAAAAGTGTTTTTAATAGATTTTATGGTGTTTCAAATTATTTAAAAATTTTTTGAATTTAATAGCACGAGAAGGTTGCTGTTTAAAGTGGGTTTCTTCATATAACCATTTCCAAGGTACAAAATGTTTTTTTTTTATTTTCAAGTTTAAGCGATATTGTTTAAAGTTGTCTGTATAGAAATAAGTGCACATGAGGAACATGGCTCAGCATTTGATTTAAAATTATTTGGCCCAGTTTCATTTTATTTCTTAGTGTGTGTGTGTATATACATATATATAAATCGGTGCACGTAAATTAGTTGATAGGTTTTCAATAAACGACACTTTATCTATCCTGTAGTTTTGTTTAAAAGGTTCCGACTAGTCTCATATAACGGAATAGTGAAGTTTTGTATACGTTATTTTATTTTATTTGTATCTGCTGTTGAGTCAGAACATGAAACGTAGCTATTGAATCAGCAAAAATTATCTAATATACAAATATCTGCAAGGAAAATGGATAAATGTGATCGTCCAGGTGTTACAAGACATGGTTTGAGTGTATAATCTCAGAATACAAGAAATCATGACGATTAAAAGGATCCGAATATAAATTTGATCGATTTATTACCACTTAAACTATGGATAATCTGGGCTTTACCGAATCTTTTGAAAATGTTGCTGAAAGAAAGCTTTCGTGGATATATTACATGGATTAGAAAACAATGTTATTAGTGTGTTTGCGATTAACTTTTACTTTGTCATTTTCATTTTTAAAGCTTGCTAATACTTTCAATATTGAAATAGTTAGTGCATGACGCCGTACTGATTCCACGTATTGTAACGAGTGACCTGGTAGCTTACGTATATATACATTCTTGGGCTTACATTACCTGAAAATGTTAGTGTGCAACCGCTTCCATATATTTTAATTCCATTTTAATAATATAGACGAATTATAAATTATAATATGGTTGAAAAGAAACAAGGTTTCAATTTACACACGTTTTTATGACTCTTGTAGTGTCATGTGTGTCGGTAATATTACCTTTAAGAAATCCAGGTTATACAGCGCTATTATTTCCATTTTACACATATCTAATGCTGACATATTTATTGAAATATATCTTAAAATGTATTCGTCATTAAAAAGATCCCTTGAACAAGTACAATGATGAATTATAACAGTAACTAAACATAATAGACTGTCCCTGACTCACCTGGGTGGAAGTGAATTAATTAAACTTTGGGGTGATAAAAGAACAAGGTAATCGTAATAAACCTAACATTATCTTATATTCTCTAAAACATTTGATGCTTATTGAATGGGCATAATTGTTTCTTAATCCCAACATTGTATTGGACGAATGTCCAGTTCAAGTTACTTTTTCGTCTCATGCTTAGCAGATGACTAATACTTCGCAGAAACCATGTTATGTTTTGTAAGCGGATTTCCATTTGAAATAAATTTATCCTTTTTGAGATATGAAAAATATTTATTTTTTAATATTATTGTTTCGTATTAGGTATGAAGCTTATGTTTCTGAAGCTATTCACTAGATGGCGTTAGATATTATAATGTCCTTTAATCGTTCTTTGTTAGTTTTCTGTGTTTTAGATTATTATCATTGAAAGTTGAAATCATCTAATTCTTAGTCCACATAACTAATACTTTTTAAGTTCTAATTACCTGTTTCCTTTACTTTTTGTCTCTTCTTAAAGAGCTAAACAAGAAAATACAAGTTTATAAATAATTTTGTATTGTTACATGTGACATCAAGTTCGCATGAAGATTGAAATGTCATACATCGTCCTTTTACTCTCTCATTCAGTTTATTAAATGGTTCATATACTATTTTAGCCCTTTTATACTTTCGTTTAAATATGAGTAACACAAACATAATAAAAACCTGTTTGTATTTAAATGTGAAAATGTTGACCACACATATTTGCATTTATTGTCATAGATTACCCAAGTTTAATTATTAATTAGCTGCTAATTAATTCATATCCAACGTTTTGGTAATTAATGTGATGCCAGGGAAGACTCGAGAACTGTTTGATGAGGTAAATATCAGAATTCGATACTGGACCTACTTGTCCGGAGTAAACGATGTCTGTTCTCCATTTAGTCTTGAAATAGTTTGGCATAATGGCAATATATCTGTGTTTCTGTCAAAGCATTATTTACAACATCCATCGTGAATGTGGATTCCAATGCATTTGAGAAATAAAAAGGTTAAAAAAAAGGAATTCAAGAATATAATAGACATATAAGACTTTCAATACCTATCACACAGGAGGATAATATAATGGAATCATATTAAAATAATAGGAGTTGAACCATACAACACAGAAAGTTAGAGGGAAAGAAGCCTTCTATATCCACCTCAATGGTAATTTACTCAGTAAACCCAACATAGAAGTCAGTAACAATTGGTTACCTCACTTGAAATCATTGAAATGTTAGTTGCCTAAAGTCCTAATAGGGGAGATCCCAGAAGAGTGGCTAGCACATCAGCCTTTTTTGACAGGAAGCTCTAGAAATGAATCCCTTCTCAGTTCTTCTCTGAAATTGGAACTCGACTGACAGCCGAAATTTAGGATATGAGTTAATTAGAAATTAATGTGGAGTAAAAAAGAAAAAACAACTAATTAATAATTGGACTTAGGTGATCATTGGTGTAGATTATAAGTTCTGTGTTAGTTTCATTACTTGTGTATGTAAGAACATTATGCTAATATAATAGTTAGTTGACAGATGACGACTTATAAGCATAATGAAGTGGTTTGATTTTGGGGTAACATGTAATAACCACTTCATCATGCTTATAAATCGTTGTCTGTCAACTTACTATTAGTTTCATTACGTTTATGTAAGTATACATATTTGTCAATGAAAATTCACCCATCTTTATTACCATGCGAGTGGCATCGGGATATTACGCTTTTCATACAATTTGGATAATTTTTATCACAGTTAGAATATTTTTTTTTCATTTTTAAATTAGTAACTGATATGCAAATATATAGAGCGTTCCGCGTAAAAGATCGTCTAGGTGCGAGCTTTTATAAGTATGTTTCCAAAGTTAATCTCTCTTAGTTAATATGATAATATGTTGGCCACTTTTTTCAGCTATTTATTTTATGATGTTATAACTCATATAATACTGTTAGCCAAATAATGTTGATATATGCTGTTACCAATGCCATCATTAACGTAGTACAAATTTTTTAATCCGTTAACGTTTTGCCATGTATATGAAAATGGGTTTTAATGAAACTTTCTAATAATTATTTTTATGGTAACAACCATTTATTTCCAGTATAACAGCATTTCTCTTGTCTCATAATGTTAATACTGTAACGCACTAGTTATTCCAGAGGTGGCGCTATGCTACGTTATTTAACACTGTAGATTCATATGCTACAATTTTTTCATTGTTTATTATTGATCGAGGTGCTGTACAAAAAAAAGATATAAATAAATCTGTTTGCACCAGTGTTATATATTTCTTGTTGAATGGTATTTAGAAGTTAATTTTCTTAAACAGAATACATAATGTGTAAAAACAAGTAAACCATATTTTCAAAAGGGAAATGCCCTTTTTTGTAAATAAATTATATTTTGAGAACCAATCTCATTGCACAAACTATAAAAAAACATATATCTTTTGCTATATGCTATATAACTATAAAATGTACGGCTTTAATGAATGTTTGGAAATCTCATGGTCACCCATACTGCAGTTTACACCACAAATACATCATGCGTTCTTAAAAGACCGTGTTAAAAGTTACAAATCAGTAACGTTATAAGGGAGAAAATGCAAACAAAAAACATTTAATCATACTTTCGATTTCAAAAGTTATGCTTGTCGGTGAATGCTGCAATATAAGTAATCTTGCTGAAGTTGTAATATTAACAGTCAACCAAGTCTCAAAAATGTTTTTATGTATAAGCAGAAAATTACTAGATTCTACTAGAATTTATTGTTAGCAATAAAACCATTAAATAAGTTAATGATAATAATTGTAGATAATAGGTATAGGTATAGATAATAATTAGTTAGAACACCTGTCGATTTGCTAGGATCCTGTTACTTCTTATTTGTTAAGTAGTTTAGAATTACAGTGGATCGTGTTCCACTTTTTTAACATATATTATTCAACTTAAAATCTAATCACGGCATATTCCACCAGAAATAATATTGCATTAACTCTAAGTATTTGAGAATCCTACCATTCGATGCGTTACTAAGATAGCGAAGTGAAGATTGAAGATTCAAGTTTAATAGTTAATTTTGTCATATAATATTTCAGTAAGCGGATTTTTGGGTTTGAAACCTGATTTATTTGAGTTGTTTTACTTTATATACAATATCAACAGAGTAATTTTAAGATTGGAGGAATGTTACAGCTGAAATATTCGTGTAGCGAAATTTTTAAATGATACAGATATGAATATCTATATAAATAGCCTAACATTTCAGTGTTCTCCATGGAAACGGAAAAATTTGCCAAGCAGTGCTTTTTTGTAGAGCAATGAGGTCCAAAGTCACACTCCAGACTAACTATGTCTTCATCCACAGGGGGAAGGTTATGGTTACGAACGAGTATCCTCTGACCCCACTAAAACAACAACAACAACAAAAAAAAACATTGTGATGACGGTGCCATATCTCCTGGTACGTTAAAGAGATCGTAAACCAGAATTTGTATAAAATTGAGCTCATACAACATGCGCTATTACGCATTTTATTTATAATAAATGAAAACAATAAATTATGCATAAGCATAAGTAAATTGGATTTTTAATAAAAATTTTTTTATTTGGGAGCGAAATTCCTTTTTATATATTCTAATAGCTGATCACCTTTAAAAACAAACTAACCTTTGCGTTAAAGAGATTATCATTTGTTAGTGGACAGAATGACAATGATAAAATAGTTACAGCGGCCTCAACAGAGATCTGAAGAAGTGAAAAGGCAAATGCACGAAACGTAATTAAGGAAAAGAGAAGAATTTTCAGGAATAAGGTAAGGTCAACCTTTTAGATTCTAAATTAATTTGGTTATTTACCGTTATCTCTACCCCCGAAACGAATGTTTTCAAACTACGCCATCCCAAGTGGCACAGCGATATGTCTGCGGACTTACAACGCCAGAAACCGGTCTTCGATACTGGTGGGCAGAGCATAGATAGCCCATTGTGCAGCTTTGTCCTTAACTACAAGCAAACAATCTACCCCGCTTCCCCTCCAGTGGCACAATGGTATGTCTACGGAATTACAACGCTAGAAACCAGTTTTCGATACCCGTGATGGTCAGAGCACAGGTAGCCCATTGTGAAGCTACAAACAAACAAACCACGCCATCTATCAACAGTATATGGTAATGTTTGCTTTATTAAATTTATATCCAGCTTGATAGACAATATGTTGGAAATGTCTCAGTTAAGAGATGGGTGAAAGGCTATGCGATTGGAGATGGTCAGGATATTTTAATGTTAAAGTTCGCGTTACAAATCAGCAAAAGATTAAAGTACATATGCGCAATATTAATCTAATGTGATGACAAAAAAACATAGATAGTTCAAATAAATTTCAATAAATAATGTAGATAAAAGACAGTGTTCACAAAGCGAGAAATGTCTGCAAACCATAAACAGCAGTTACATTTCATACTTTCAAGAGTTAATATCAATTAGTAGATGGCGCTTTTATAAGTACACGTAATCTAGTCACGAAATCCCGTTTTCCCTTCCGTTCTTCTTGCCCATGGTGATGTTAACTAATTCGTTTCCTTGACAACAAACCAAAGTCTACTGAATCACCTGCTTCAGTACATATTGAGAAATTTATATGTATTTCCATTTGTTTTTCTGTAATATCTTTGTCATTTTCAAACGACGCATGCACATTCATTGTTCTGATTGATAGTTTTCATCATGTTTGTTTGTTGTTAAGCGCAAAACTACACAGTGGGCTATGTGTGCTGTGCCCCTCACGGTCATTAAAACCCGGTTTTTAGCATTATAAGCTTTCAGATTTACCACTGAACCACACAGGAAGGGCATCATCACATTTCAAAAGCTTCTGATCAAACTTTTATGTGTTAGGAAATTACCTGATTCCTGCGGTGGTGAACTTTGAATGAAACCGAAAAAAATTACAAGTAGCGTTTTAACTAATAATCATTAATGTGAAGTTGATTATGTGTGGATATGAAGTGTTAGAACAGTGAGGTAGAATACAGGATATTCTACATAAATATGTCCCCCGATGGGACAGTGGCAAGTCTACCGATTTACAACGCTAAAATCAGGGGTTCGATTCCCCCTCGGTGGACACAGCAGATAGCCCCATGTGACTTTACTATAAAAACACACCCAAACATACATAAATATATTCTATATTTCTTTCATAAAGCACGTTCATGAACATGCACTGAAATAACTCAATTTCCCCTTAAATATACGGACCACAAGGGACAAATTATTTTGTCCTTCATGGATGTCATTATAGCAAAAATACAAACTCACCTTTTACTTGTCGCCCCCCCCCCCCCCACGTGGCACAGCGGTATGTCTACGGACTTATACCACTAGAAACCGGTCTTCGATACTGGTGGGCAGAGCACAGATAGCCCTTTGTGCAGCTTTGTGCTTAATACAAACAACAACAACACTACTGTTGGTGAAAACTCATTCCATAACCTAAATAAACACTTTCTTCGGAAAACAAAACTATTTTAATTGGAGCTTAGCCTGTCTTTTCCAAATCGTAACTTTGTGTCCACTCGTCCTATTGTCTTCAGAATATAGAACAAAGAACTTAGAGGCCTGTATCCTGTTGATCCTTTGGATAATCTCGTATGATTACCTATTACCTTTCTTTTCTCAAGATAAAACAAGGGAACTTAAACTTCCTGAAATATAACCCTTCCATCCCCGGAGTCATCCTAGTAGCCTTCCTTTGAACCGTTTCCAATAAGTAAATATCTTTTTTTATATAAAGAAATCAGAAATTTACATAGTATTACAAGTGAGGCCTAACTAGAGATTTGTATAGACAGATAATTATCACTTTCGACTTGTAATAATTATGTAAACTTATTTTAGCTCTCTATTAGCACTGATTTGATGGTTTAAATTAATGTCAAGATCATTTTCTTTAGTCATGGTAATGAATGGGTTCCTATTTATATTAATCATGTTATCCTAATTATCATAATTCCAGTGCATTAGCTGCACTTACTATAACTAAATGTAATTTGTCCAACTTCCCAATTGATCAAAGACATTCTGTGGTACCCCATCATCCTCAGTACAGCTAGAACTACTTAAGTGTGATTTCATCAGCAAAACTTACTAATTATACTCTTATAAATATCATTAATGTAGATAAGAAATGGCAAAGGCTCAATCACTGACCTCTAAGGCAATCCACTAGTAAATAAGGGTCCAGTTAGACTGGATTGCATTAACAACAACCTTTTGTTTTCTTTCATCAAAACACTTTAAAATCAAATTATTTAGTATCTTCCCAACATCTCCCGATGTTATATTCTTAGCTGATCATTTATTTGGCTCCTTATATATATAAATATCCACATCATTCAGATACCAAAATAACATGCTCGATAAAAGTTAACAGATAAATATGACAAGGTTCCCCCTTTAGCGAATCCATGTTAGAATTTCTTTATATCATGTTTCATTGAAAGATTTTCTAAAGTTTCCTTTATCTGACTTTCTAGAATATTTCTCACAACGTAGATAAGATTGACTGAAAATAATTATTATTCCGTTGTGGGAAATTCAGACCCAAGATTTCTGGGCGAGAGCCAGGTAGCCGAACCACTAGATCGTTCCGTAAACTGTATATTATGAACGAAAGGACCGACAATATTTATTCAGATTTCAAACAGTAATTGGCTTGAAATGTGGACGAGTATTACCTTTCGATAATTGTCAAAAAATATGTGATTGTTAAAAAATAAATAGCACAATAAACGTACAGATACAGCAGTTGAAAACATTGTCGGTAACTTCATCAAAGTGGATGCTCTGATTTCCAGTTTTTATATTTCTAACTGAAATTTTTATGATTTCAACATATAACATATGTGTAGTGAATATTACATAAGAAGTTCGAGTTGAAGACAGCACTTATACGATCATCGCTTGTGTATATGTAAAGTATTTAGTAGGTCGGACATGATAAGCTGGTTATGCGCACGTGATAAGAACAGCAACACGCGAAGCTTTCATTGGCTACATACTTGACACAAAAAGTTATTTTCCAGTTGAGTTTCTTAAAGAAAAAAAATTGTAAATGTAAAGTAAAAATTGGTTAATCAAGACAGTTTGCTACTTAGCTGAAAGACTGCAAACAGCATTCATTGAATGAGTACGTGAGAAAAAGGTTTAATGTGTAGATTGGTATTATTACAATCATGTACCTACAAACAAGTATAGTGGCAGTACTTTTTTATTGAAGTTTTG